GGACTCGGGTGGCCTGTGCTAGCTTCTTTTGATACTGAGAACTGTTTTAAGGTGGGAGGGTGGCAAGGAACGTGCTTAATAAATCAATTCTCAGCTCACCTGCCCTTGTTCAGCTCATTTGCGTGAATAGGGTGGGCTGGAGGGCAGGAGAAGACAGTTGTGGCGGCAAGGGCAGGTCCCAGAGCTGGCTGGAGGCAGTAAACAGAGGTGGGGTCTCTGTCTGGGAACATGGGTGTGGGCGTGGGGAATAGCAGGGCCCAGAGGCAGAGCTGGGCAGAGCTCAAGTCCAGTTGTGAGAGGGAGCCAGAGCCAGTTCTTTCCCTTTCTCTTCCCTGGGCCATTGTGCTTCAATCATAACACCCCCACTTCCCCACCGCCTTGCAGATTCTACTTCCATCTCCTCATGATCCCCACTCTTCCCCATTCTGGTCTGAACCAGGCTGCACTGTTTGTGACTTCACCTCTCTGAGCTTCACCTGGAAACAGACTAGCAGAACCTGCTGCTGAATGCAGGAATGAATGATGCGATGGACAGAATGGCATATCACAAGTGCCTGGTGCACTGCAGGTGCCCAGTGAGCTTCCCCTGACCTTGGCCTTTCTTAGTTTGGGAAGAATGAGTGGTACAGAATGCTAGCCTCAAGGAAACTTCTGGAAAAAAAGAAAGCCTAGGGTGAATGTCTCCCCTACCCTGACACTCAAATCTCTGGGCCCTTGCTGCTTCCCAAGAGAGCCACAGACAGCACTGACCGCAGCGGCAGGGTATTATTTCTTTATTAGGTGCCACTTCAAAGAACAGGGAATCCAGGTGGGTAGGGGCCACAGGGCACCAGGTACGCTGGCCCCTCACAGTCCAACCTTCTGAGCCCAGGCGAAGAAGATGCCCTTGACGTCATCTACACCTGTCTGAAGATGAGCAGGCATGATGTAGGTGCGGAGGTCCCGGACCTCGTAGCCACTACGCACCAGGGCCTCCCTCACCTCCTCCTCAGACACTGGCACCACCATCAGCCTGGCCTCCCCAGCCAGGTACCACGACTCCTCCAGGGCCCCGATGAGGAGGAGGTGCCCCCCAGGCCTCAGCAGTGTGGTGATGTGGTCCAGGGCCCGCTGGAAGCTGGCAAGATCTGGGCTCACAGCCTCCAAGCAGAAGGCAGAGACCAGGGTGTCGGCAGGCAGGGGCGCTGGGCTCCCAGTACCCAGGGGCTGGGGCTGGTGCACGTCGATGGGCAGGACCCGCTTCACCCTGGCTCGCAGCTGGCGCTCCTTCTCCTGCCAGGATTCCCTGTGCAGGGGGCACAAGGCAGGGCTCAAGGCTGTTCTACACTCAGGCCTCTGTTGTCCCCACCAGCCACTCTATGGGAAGCCCCCTCCCCAGCCCTCACCCCCCAGTCCTTACCCCTTGCCCTCAATGAGGCAGGCATACTGGCTGTACATGCTCCAGTTGAAGGCCCCTGGCTCCTCCCGCAGCCAGCGCCCCAGCTCCTGGCGGTTGACCTCCAGGAAATCTGTCATGGTAATGTCTTCAAAGTGGCTGCAGGCACTGAGCAGCTGGTACACGGTGGGGCCTGAACCAATGTCGATGAGGGTGTGTCCGGACACTTCACCTGGGCAGGGCAGAGGAAAAGGGTCCTGGTGCCAGGCCGGCCCAGGCAGCCCCTGCCTCCTCACCCCTCCCTCCCCTGCATTTCCCTGCTTCTCTCTAGTTCTTCCTTCTCCTCTGCAAGTGTGTCTCCATCTGGAAAAAGCATTGGCCCCAGAGTTAGACTGAACCCAGCTCCAACATGGACTGACTTCCCTTGGGAAGGGAACTTCACAGCTCTGAGACTCAGGTTTCACATCTGGAAAACTATACCTACTGGCCGGGCGTGGTGGCTCACACCTGTAATCCCAGCACATTCGGAGGCTGAGGCAGGTGGATCACGAGGTCAGGAGTTCAAGACCAGCCTGACCAACATGGTGAATCCCCGTCTACTAAAAAAATACAAAATTAGCTGGGTGTGGTGGTGCACGCCTGTAACTCTAGCTACTTGGGAGGCTGAGGCAGGAGAATTGCTTGAACCCGGTAGGCAGAAGTTGCAGGCAGCCGAGATCCGGCCACTGCACTCCAGCCTGGGGGACAAGAGCAAAACTCCGTCTCAAAAATAAAAATAAAGATAGGCTGGGCACAGTGGCTCAAGCCTGTAATCCCAGCACTTTTGGAGGCCGAGGCGGGTGGATCACCTGAGATTGGGGGTTCGAGACCGGCCTGACCAACATGGAGAAACCCCGTCTCTACTAAAAATACAAATAAATTAGCCAGGCATAGGGGCGCATGCCTGTAATCCCAGCTACCCCGGAGGCTGAGGCAAGAGAATCGCTTGAACCTGCGAGGTGGAGGTTGCAGTGAGCCGAGATGGCGCCATTGCCCTCCAGCCTGGGCAATAAGAGCGAAACTCCGTCTCGAAATAAATAGATAGATAGATAGATAGATAGATAGATAGATAGATAGATAGATAGATAAAAAAAAAAAAAGAAAGAAAGAAAACTATACTTACCAGCCAGGCTCAGGGAGGAAATTCTGGCGGTTTCTCGCCCCGTCCCACATCTGCCTCTATTTCCTCCTCTGCATCTCCACCTCAGTCTGTCCTGCGTTCCCCACCTTAGCTCTCAATTCTGAGCACTCTCCGCTCCCTCTCTCCACCTCTCTCACCTCTGCCCCTCTCCTAAGGGATGTTGCTCCTTTTTCTCTTCTGTTTGCACCTCTCAGCTATCTCTTTCTTGGTCCCCATCTGTCAGGCGCCTGGTCTGTCTCCTATTCCTTCTTTCTATCTCCCCGCGCCTGCTTTCACTCCCCGACGACCTCTTGTCCCTCGTGTCTCAGTTTCCCCCGCTCACCGGTGGCGAAGGTCTGCGCCAAGCAGCGCAGCTTCCACGGCCCGACGCCGTTCGGGTTGCACAGGTCCCCGCGAGGGGGCGCGTAGTTGTTGCGGAGGTAGGCGCGCGGCTCGAAGCGCTGGTAGGCCGAGGCCACCGCCGCCCGACCCGGGGCCGAGTCAGGGGCTGCGCCCGCAGCGGGGATCCGGTCTGCGCCGCTCATGCTGCTGCCGCTGTCCGCCCGGTGCTCCGCTCGCCTCGCGGCCCCTTTTTCTACCGCCCGACCCCCTCCCCGACCAGTCTGCTGTGGGGGCGGCAGCTGAGCGCCGAGCCGCCCGGGGCCACGTGCGCCGCATCCTCCCCACCCCATCCATCCATCTCCCTTAGTGTCCGGGCTGCAGACGCACCGGAGGTGAGGGGGGCGGCGGCGGCTGCAGCGGCAATCGGCCCCCGCACACCCCTCTCCGCACTTGCTCCCGCAGCCCTCACCCTCCGCCTCGCCTGCCCCCTCCGAGTACCGCCTCTGCGCCCCCCTCCACCCTCAGTTCCTCACCCCCACAAGCTTTAGACCCCCTCACCCCAGCCGGCCCACCCTTCCCGTCCCTATTCTCCAGCTCCCCCGCAGCCATTCACCTCTTTTGACCGGCAGCCCGCCCCTTCTCTTTCCTGATTCGAGGGGGAGACTGGGGAATTAGGCCCTTTCCCCAGTTTCCCCCTCGCAGCGCCCTCCTCGACGAGGCCCCAGACCCCACCAGGCTTCCCTCCCTCCCGGACACCCGTCCCAGCACCCACCCTTCCCTTAGAACTGCCACCCAACTCCCCTTCCCCGCCCCTCCTCCAGGCCTCTCTTGTCCTTTCCTATGCCACCGGGCCCTCCAGCTCTCCCCCGCGCCACCCCGCCCCAGAAAGGACAGTCCGTTCCGGCCTCCGCTGTGGTCGCTCCGGGGGCCCCAGAGCAGGGCGCGGCACCGCCCGTCCGATGGCAGGCGCGATAGGGGAGGTGAGCTGTGCTAATGCACTTAGCGGGCGGAACAGCCGGGCCTCCCCTGCGGGCCCCGCGGGTTCCCAGCCGCTTATCTGGGGGGCTGCCGAGGACGGAAAGTTCGAGTTCGGGTTGTTCTCACCACGTCGTGAGCACCGGACCCAGGTGAGGGCAGAGGGCTTGGGCGGAGGAAAGGCAGGACGCATTCGCCGAGGGCCGCTAGGGCCACCAGGGGGCGCAGTCCGGGCCTTGGGGCCCAGCCGATTTGGGGTCCTGCGGATGCAGGGGCTCTGACCCCTCTCCTCTCGCAGCCCACACTCCAGCTTTGCTGCAAAGGAGCGGCCAGGTCAGGCCTGCAGGTTCTGCTCAGCGCCCCAGGTCCTGGCTGTCAAAATGCCAGGGAGTCCCCACCTATCTCCCGGATGGGAAGCCAATTCTGCCTGTGGCATCTCCGTGGTCTCCCTGAAGACCCCTTCCTTCCCCTATGGATGAGTCCGGGGCCCTTCTGCCCTGGGGAGGCCACCAGCCCAGCTCCTGCCACCGTGGGTTCCTGGACCCGCTTGATGCGGGCCTCATCCATGTCCTCCCCTCCCGCTTGTCCCCAGGGGAAAGTCTCCTTGGGAGAGGCAGCCAGGTTGGGACATGAGTCACCACAACAGCTGCAGGGGTCACAGAGAGGAACCTGACCCCCTAGCACCTCCAACCTTCCCTGGCTTCCAGGGCAGGGAGGGTGGGTCGAGACACAGCCGAGGATTGATTCTGCTTGGATTCAGAACTGAGAGGCAGGTTAGCTTTGAGGTCACTGACCCTGTTCACACCCTGAGGCAAAGCCAAGAACAGTTCTGGCACCAGCCCCTCTATATTCTCCACGAGACATCGTTGAAACAAACTCTGGATGCCAGCTGGCTTGCTGGGTACCACCCAGTGCCAGGGGGCTGAACACAGAAGCCAGGACTGGGCATCGGTCAGGGTACGGGAAGGAGACTGGAGACAGCACCCTGTTTATAGTTCTGTCCTGGCCTTCCCACTCCAAGTATGGGGCGTACTCATTAGCTCTGCCATATTTAGCTCAGATGCAGAGCCTGGTCCCAGAAGTGGGCACTGGGGGGACACCCATGGGCCACAAGGAAAGCCCCGACAACCACAAGGAAAGAGACACAACTCTGGCACATGATTGAGCATTTATTGCGGCACTAACAGAAGGTGCTGGGGGCCCCACCATCCTTGCCTCTGCCCTCTTCACCTCCCCCTCCCTCCCAGCTTCTTCTGCCTAGAGCATTCCAGATTCCCCTCACATTTTCCTGGATCAGGGCCACTCCTCCCAGGCACCTCTTGCCCTCACCAGTATCTTGTGAGGTGCTGGCCCCCAACTCTCCACCCTTAGTGCCCACCGTCTCTGCCACCCTCCCTTTGGGAACTCAGGGGGCTCAGGCATCCTGGGCTCTGGCTCCCTCCTCCCCTAACCCCCAACTCTGGGCAAACTACAAAGCAGCCATGACCAGCAGCTCCCCTCCACAGTCCTAGCCAGGAAGGGCCCAGCCCAGGGCGGGCACAGTGGAGCCCAAGTCACAGTCCCTCTCAGCCTCTCTGTGCTTCCTGGGACATGGAGCGGGACAGGGAGCGACGAAGGGCACCGGGCTTGCTGACAGGCACCACAGGGGGCAGCTGCTTGGTGATCTCAGCCACCTCCTGGCGGTCCACACACTGGCCACCCAGGGCTGTCTCCAGCGCCAGCAGCTCCTGCAGCTGGATGGGGGTGTCCTCGCGCTCCTCCTTGGTGGCGCCCATCTTGGCAGGGGTGAAGATGGGCAGTGGCAGTACCCGCTGGTAGGGCAGCTGGTACTCCTGCAGCCCACGGCCGAGGATGCCCATCCGCATCACCAGCCAGGGCGAGCGCTGCACCAGCGCCTGGCACTGCCCCTGCTGGTGGTAGGTCTCATGTCTCTGGGTGTCCTCCTCATGCAGGGAGCAGCTAGGGAGAGGGGAGGGGCAGTGAGTTCTTGGGAGCTGTTGCTCTCCGGGAACAGGCTGGGTGGGGGGCTCCCCAGGGCTGCTGGGACCTGGGAGCAGGAGGTCCCATGGGGCATTCTTTTGCTCTTCCCATGGGGCATTCTTCCTTCCCCCACCCCCAGAAATTTCTCCAGGGCTTCATGCTCTGGCCTCAGGGCTCAGTGAGGGTGCTTTGGAGGAGCAGAGGCAGGACTCTGGCAGACCCACACTCACCCCTCCTCAGGCCGTGTGGACAGTGTCAGATCCTTCCATTCTGCCCAGAAGGCCTCCCGGCGCTCACAGTTCTCCTCGGACACCTCGCAGCTCAGCTCTGAGGTAGCCATGATCACTCCTCACTCCCTCTCTCCTCCCAGGCCCTTTAAATAGCCCCCTCCTCCCCCTTCTCCAGGGGCTATTTTCGGCCCCTCTGGTGTCAGATGCTATAAGCAGAGCCAAGACTCACTAATGGGGGGACGCCGGACCCAGGGCAGGGGTTAGGGTACCTGGACGCTGGCTGCTCCCTGGTCAGAGGTCTGGGGTCCAGGGCCCTATGCCTCCAGGTGCCTGACATTACTCAGACACCGTCTCAGGCCAGCCACATGCCCAGCCTCGTGCCCCCCTGGCACTTGCCCTCTGCCCCACCCACTCCCCTTTGCAGGGAGGACAGCAGCTTGTCTGTAAACAGAACAGGACCAGCAGGAACTGATGCCCGCTCTGGGCTCTGTACCAGGGCTGCCAGGTCCTGCCCTGGCTGTGCTCTCCTCTGCCTGGGCTCAAGGGCACATCCCCAGAAGGGACAGTGCAACCACGTCCTCAGGCGCCTGCACCGAAGGCCTAGTGCCTCGTCCCCAGTCACCCTCACCACACCAGCAGGGGCAGAGGAAGTCAATTCCATACCTGGGAACCTGGGGCATAAGCTTTGGTCAAGTGTTTTCCTTCCCCACAGCTGGTGGTCAGATAAGTGGTCTTAGGAGACAGGACAGTAGGGGTGGAGGGGGCCTCCAGTTCTACCCCAACACCCTGTGTTGGGTGAAATGGAAATCCAGGGGCTCTGATGGATGACAGATCAGCCATAAATAGCCTGTGTGACCATGTGTCAGTTCCTGCCCCTCTCTGGGCCCCTTTCCCCACTTTCTGGCCACTACAAGAGGACCAGAAGACCTCTGGAGCCTGCCAGCTCTGATGTGCTACCTGGGAGTGGACTGCCTCTCCTTCATGGGGAGCAGGGGAGACAGATGGCTGTGGGGACAGTCCAGCACCCCAGGAGTGGCAACTCATGGTCCAAGAAGCTGGCACACAGGTGGTAGGCATGGGGGGATGAGAACATTGCCGAGTGGACAAAGCAAAGGGCAGCAGGAGAGACAGTGACAGGGGCTGAGCTCAGGACCCTGTGGGGACAGCAGAGTACCCAGGAGCAGGTAAGGCCCATGCGCACCCACCTGGGTGCAGAATTGCAGACTACTGATTACTGAGAACTGTGCCCGGTTCTTCGTATCTTTTAATCTCATAACAACCCTGTGACATCAGTCACATTTTCATAAAGTAGGAAGCAAAAGCTGAGAGAGGTAGATTCGCCCAGGGTCACACACCTAGGCAGGACCAAGACAGGATCCACCTGGCTCTGAAGCAGCTGGCTCTGCTGGAAGCCTTCGTGCAGGCAGGCAAGGGAGCAGGCCAGCCAGGAGGGAGGAGGAGGGCAGTGGCCTGGCCCCGCCCTGCGATCCCAGCTCCAGGCTGCCCCTGGTGTGAGTGCGGTGGGGGGAGAGGCAATGGGTGAGTGGAGTCTGGGAGGTCCGGGGCTCCAGGTGGCTGGGATCCCAGAGATGCCTCAGTGACCCTGAAGCTCAGGCCCCACCTTCAGGCCACACAGTCAAGGCTTGCTGTGAGCACTGCCAGGTGCCCATACCCCCATCTCCATTCCTGGACTAGAGACTTTAACTTGCCCAGCTGAGGCCTGGCAGGGGGCGGGGCACTTTTTCTGACCAGTCATCTGCTCAGTTGAACAGGTCAGGAAAGGGGGGGCATGTTCCAGGAACTGGCTCCCCAGGCTCCGCCCTCCTGTGAGCCCAGGAGAGGTTGTGTGAGGGGTCTCCCTCTTCATCTAAGCTGCTGCCTGCCTTCCTCTTCCCTCAAGAGGCAAGGCAGCGGGAGGGGCTGGAATTGTTTTTTTTTTTTTTTGAGTCCATATTTTTAATTGGCTTAAATTACAAAGGTCCCCCAGGAGGCCCTGGGAGGAGGGGGACAGCCTGGGAGAGGCAGAGATTCATGGCCAGCAGCCCACTCCCACCTGCCACCCACTCCCCAACAAGGGTCCCAGACTCTTTCGATAATCCTAAAAAAGCCCACGAGAGCACAGGCAGATGAAGAACCCCTTCATCTTCACACGGGTGACAGCCTGCCCTGCCCTGCCCCCACGCTGGCCCTCCCCAGCCAAGTCAGGCGCCCAGCCCAGACCCTGCCCTGGCAAGGCAGGGGACAGCAATCTGCTCCTCCAGGAGGCAGGGCACCATGTAAACATCAGCAGGCCAGATCCCACTTTCTCCAGCCAGGGGAGCCCCAGAGTCCAGTGCTCCACCCCACAGCCTGCTCAGACAGTCGACTCCAGGCACTGCATGGCTCGGTGGAGGGTGACAGCCTGGGGCCAGGTCCTACGTGGGCAGCGGAAGCCCAACTGGCCCCCTTTCTGGCTCTGGAAGTGGTGGCGACAGGACCCTGGCCCGCAGGGTGGGTAGGGGCACAGTCACGCCCTAGCCCCCAGTTCGCTGATGCGCTGTCGCAGGTGAAAGGCAAATTCAAACATGGTGGCCGCGAGGCTCTGGTGGATGAGGTACCGGGGCAGGCGGCCCTGGGGGAAGGCAGGCAGAAGTCACTTGACGGCCTGCCCTCAGCAGGGTCTCCCCTTGCAGCTGGCACCAGCAGGGGCGCTCTGGGTCAGAATGCAGGTGCAGCTCTGGAATCCAGCCTGGGCCGCCCTCTCCCACTCACCCTTGGCGGGAAGAACATGCTGGGCCTGGCTCTTGGCACCAGCCATACAAACAGACCAGGGTGAGGCTGGGCTGGCCGCCAGCCACCCCTCCTCAGGGCCTCAGGACTCACAGGTAAGAAGTGGGGGCACATGCCCTACAGCAATCCAGGGCTAAGAGACCATCTGGACCCTGACCCGAGTTTTCAAGTAAGAAAGGAGCTGACACAGGGGAGGCCCAGGCATGGCAGAGAGCTCCCAAGGTCACGCAGCAACCAAGGCAGCAGCAGGGTCCCCTCTACTCCACGGAACCCACCTGGCAGCCCCCCAGCACCCCACCTTGAGATCTGTATTAAGAATCCAGACAAAGGTGCAGACACGGGGGTTACTGGCCGACTTGAGCACGACGAAGCCCCCGGGGCCATTCTCTCCCCTATGGAAAGAGGCGTCATTGGGGGGACTTTTGGAACAGAGTGAGGCCCTGACACCCCCCAGCAGCCCCCACCACTCACCCTCCATTCTTGGCCCAGCTGGGACCGGGCTGGAAGCAGAAAGGCAGAGCTACCCTGTCTGAACAAGGCTTAACACAGGTGTCCCAGGGGCTGAGAATCGGCCCTCCACCCCCACCCACTCTGTGATGCTTGAATCCTCCAACAGCCTGTTAGTGCTTGCACACCCCCAGGGGCAGGGAGCTCACCACCTTCCCAGCCCTCATCCACTCTGTCCAGAGATTCCAGGTCAGCCCTGCTATGGCAGAGTAGGCTGGGCTGGCACTTCTTACCCCTTCCCTTTCAGGAGGGGACACCTGCTCAGGAGGAGGCTAGGCCTGGGAGGCACAGTTCACATCCCATCACCATTTCATTCTCCCTCAGCTCCACTAAGCATGCCTGAGCCCACTCCGCAGATAAGGAAGTTGGCATCCAGAGAGGAAGTAAGCTTGCCCTGCACCCAGCAAGTCTGTCCAGTGCCCAAAGCAGAGCCTGGCATCCTATCCAAAGAACAGTGCTCCTGCTGGAACCCAGGAGGAGATGGGGAAGAGTGGGGTCTATGGGAGGGGGCCACCCACAGCACCACAGCCTAAGACTAGACAAAAGGGAAGACTTCAGAAGCCCAGGCACAGATGCGGGAAGACCATAATCCCTTTATCTTTGGGGGACTCCTGAGCCACTCCAAAGAAAGGTGAGGGAGTGAGGACAGGGTGAGGGGGACAAAAGGGGACCCAAGTCTCCTTAGGCAGGAAGATGAAACCCAGAGCATAGAGCGTCCTGCTCAGGTCAATCAGCCCAGGGTGAGCACATGACTCTCAGGCCCCTTCCCTGCACGGGTCCCCATCCATGGCCAGCCACTGCTGCATGTCCCCTCCACCCCTCCAGGTGGCTTGGTTCCAGCTGTCCACCACCCCCCACCTCCACAGACAGAGCAGCAAGATTAGCAGGATTAGTGGCCGGGAGGAGCAGAGCCCAGCGGGACAGGAAACAGGAACGCAGCCTCAGCAGGGGAAGTGCCCAGCTGTACATGCTGTACCCTGCACTGCTCAATGCTCCCAGGGGAGGGGCTGGCAGGGGTGACCCCAGGCAAAGTGAGGCTCACCGGACATATTTGTGCGTCGGGGGCTTGGCACTGTGTGCGGTGGCGATCCCTGATGACAAGTATCGGTCCCTGCGCCGCTCAATGCGCCGGACATTCACAAAGTCCCTACGGGAGGGAGGGTTAGTTCAGGGGACAATGACCCAAGGCCAAAGTGCAGAAGGCCTGGCTGAGAGGAGGGAGCCCGGCAGGGACTCACCTTGGGGAGACCACGCCGCCCGCAGCCCCTGCAGACACGTCATAGGAGATGAGGGTGTTGTCTTCCACTCGCTGCAGGATCTGAGGGCCATCAACGGAGACTTTTGGAACAGGTGGCCCCAGGAAAACCCCAGGGATGGGAACTCCCCAGGCTAGCCTCCTCTGCCCGGGCCCTTTACTAAGAGCTATCGCCATCCGCAGGCCCTGGGCAGCACCTGATGAGCACTCCTCCTGCCCTCCTCCCAACCCTCTCGAGCAGGCACTGTTACCAATACACCCACTGTACACATGGGGCAGCTGAAGCGCAGAGTGCTTCAGTGATCCCACTGGGGCGTGGCTGTGCCCCAATCTGTGCCTTAAGAGGCAGCCAGGCTGGGCTCACCTGGCAGGCGGTCACTGTCTTGTTCCACAGCACCATCCTCTCGGGTTGCAGGATCACCTCCTGGTACACGAGCTCCGCAGGGCAGGGCAGGAAGGTCTGGGACAGGGCAGCAGAGGGCTGGGTGGTGCCAGATGGGCTCGGGCAGACCAATCCTTCCCTCTTGGTGGGCACCCACCAGAGGACCCCTCAGCCCCTTCCTAGAGCCTCCTGTGCTGTCTGGGGCTCCAGGACACCCGCTCCCCTCACTCACCTTCAGGATGAACGTCTTGCCGTGAAAGGGAACTTCAATGGTATACACGGTGTCCCCATATTCCTGTGGCAGGGACAGAAGGTGGCAGGGAGGAGAGTGGAGGCAGGGGGTGGGCTGGTGGCACAGAAATGGGTGACAGGCAGGGCAGGTTTTTAACAGCACAGGGTGGAAAACTCCAGGAGTCTGGGGCTACCTGAGCAGCTGTTACAAAACAGCAGCTCTAACAAACCTACGGCACCACTGGCGGGAGAGAGGCTTTTCATGCTGAGTTAAAAGACGGGGGCACAGCTGCCGCTGCAACCACAAAAAACCATGTCTCCAGGCCAATGGGGCTGCCACAGGAACTGGCCAGGGAGAGGGTCTGGGGCATGTTTCCCTCTGTTTTCCAAGCTCTCTACGATCTTTGTAGATAACGTTGTTTTGATCATGAAATGAAACAACGGACACAGAGCAGAAGCCTGGCTTCCCCTTCAAAGCCTGGAGCCAAGGGGGCAGAACAGCAGGGAAGTAAAGACAGGGTGGTGCCAGGAAGAGGGGGCCGAGGGGGGTGGGGGAAACGTCCAATCCAGTTCGGCCTCCTGCCGACCCGAGGGCCCAGCTCCCTCTCTTGGGGCAGGAATATGGCTCCAACCCATGTAATCCTTGGGTTTCCTCCTGAGGCCTCAGAAAAGGGAACAGAAACTCCTAACAAGCATGGGAAGGTCAGGTGGGAGAGGGCTTCTTACATTATTCTTCTCAAACTTCCAGTTCTCTTCCTGGGCCAAGATCTGGTCCACCACTGCTGTGGCCTCCTTCCCCTGGCGGATGTACTCCCGCTCCTGGACGGAAGCAGAAGGCAGCGAGGGGTCAGCCTGGGGCCTACAACTCCCCATGTTCGTGGCCTGTTCTCTCTCTAGACATACCACATGCCTCCCAGAGGGACCTGGCCCAGTCACATGTGGGGGATCTGGGCTGGTCTCCCTGGGCCCTGCAGGCCTGTGGCTGCTCTTCCTGTGCGCCCAACCATGAGGCAGACCCGGGGGGCTGGACTGGTGGAGGGGCATTCAGATGGGCACTGCCCAAGGTTCAGCCTCTACTGGGAAACCCCTGCCCACCCCGGCTGACTCCTGCACTGGC